AAAGAAAAAGCCTTAAAGCATCCTTGTCTTCTAATGGCATTGTCTAAGTTTCTGGGGGTTGGGGGTTGTGTGCACCTATGTCTCTCTCTTTATGTCTCTCTTTTTGAATTTCAAAGAAGGAAACAGTTTTAGGGAAATTTCTTTCTTTCTTTTAAAGAGAACAAGAAAGTATATACAACATTGAAAAAAAAAGGCCTTAAATCAGAATATGTTAGACGTCACAGGTGATCCACTAAGAGATCGCAAAGACAAGAGGCATCTCAGCATTCTGCCCGGTAGGTCTGGGCCCCACGGTCGGATTCCGCACCTGAGCCTCATGCTGGCTGCATGGGCGCCTGGCACGTTCCTGCCGGCAGGCGGGTGGGGGCAATGAATCAGTAAGTCATTGTGTTTCTACCAAATTCCTCCCTCAGTCTACCTTCGATAGAACAGGAAATTTGCCTTGGTTTCTCAATATTTTATAGAGGGTACTGCCTTTCAGAAAGAAGAACTGGGTCTGGAAGAGAACTTTTAAAAAGTATTGGAAAATAGGACAGTTTTAAAGTGAGTGAAAACAGTAATAAAGCAGAGGAAAAGGACGGGGGTACTGGGGATGGGGGGGTGTGGGCGGCAAGCACTTTGTTGCCTCGTAGTGCACTTTGTATGGGAGGACGAGGAAGGCCCTTCTGATGTGGCGACATGTATGGCAAAAACCTGGAGGAATTGGAGCAAGAGAACTCTAGGCAGGGGGAAGAGATGGTGCGAAGGTCCTGAGGGGGAGCTGGAAGCAGAGCCCTGACCACGCTCCTTCCTGCTCAGGAGGCTTCCTAGGTTCCCAGCAGATTTTTCCTCCTCCAGTCCCCATGCCCTGGAGGACACATCCGAAGAATTTTCACATCACAGTCCCCTCTGGCCAAGGGTGGCTCAGGGTAGGTCTTTCGCATGTCCACCCAAAGCCTTCCTACAGAGTGCTCACTTTTTGTCCACACTGTGCTGTTCCTGGACAAGCCCAGTGTCCTGACAGTGACACATGTCATACAGTTTAGCCAAGAGACAAAGAGGTAAAGTGTTCAGATTTGGATAAAGCAGAATTCCACCACCATAGAATGTTTTCCTGGGATATAAGAATATATTGAGAATTTTACCAGGAGACATACGTTTGTATTTACATCAAGGAGTATAAGGTTTGTTTGAAGTGAGTCAGCAGCAGTTGGAGAGTTTCAAGGAAGGGTGACCATGTGGCCTGGCAGCTGTTTGTTAAAGTGCAGTCTAGCCAGAGACAGCAGGGACAAAAGCCAGACTGGGGAGCCCAAGAGGGAGTCCCCCTGGTCATCAAGCAGTAAGAGGTGGGGGGAGGGAGATGGAGAGCCTTGGGCAGAGCCGAGGGACTCAGAGTAACGCAGTAGCTGGGGTGTGAGAAACTGGATGAATAGAGAATGGCACCCAGGTGACAGTGTAACAGAGACAAAGGCCCGAAAGAGGGCAAAAGTATTTTCTGTCTCTTTGAAAGCCCCTCACCCTTTTTGAGAATTAAAACCTGTATTCCTGCCCAGAGCCAGTGATCAGAGGGGCATGGGAGTGTCCTTTGTTCTTTGTCCCACAAGAGATGGCCCAATGGAACCGTCCAGGCAGAAGTCACGAAATTGTCTCCATGGGAGATGGGACGGATCAGAACCATCAGCTACAGTAGACCCTCCGTAGCTGACCTCCTGTTTAAGCTGACCTAATTTTCACGGACTGGATGTGCACCCCATGTACATATCAGTCCAGCAGGCCTTGTTTCTTATGGTGACACCTCCGAATGTTGACCAGTATGTGACAGTCCCTTTGGTGATCACCGTACAGAGGTTCCACTGTAGAGTTAAATAGCAAACAGCCCGAAGCTGAAAGCCCTTTACAAACTCTGTATTCCTGCTTATAGCTGGGGTGGCACGTGGGGTAGCCGTCACTGCAGCTGCCTCCCCGAACAAGCCTCTTCCTGGGGATTGAGAGCTGAGGGTGTGAATACCTCGGTCTGGCCTGTTGCCACCAGGCAGTTGATGATGAAGGTGGAGCTGCCTGAGCCACTGAGGCCAAGAGTGCTGGGAACCCCCAGCCTCCAGGAAGGGGAGACATCCAGCCCCTGCCTCTTATTCCACACATGCCACATACATCTTCCCACACCACACCCATCATACACATGCCACCTGCACACAGTACACACACACCACACCACACATACACCACACACACCACATACTACATCACATACCGCATAGACTGTACTGCACCACACCACGTATGTACGTCTGTCCCACAGGAGCATACCACGTCACACCACACATGCACACACAGCACCCGCACACCCCACACACATGCACACACCACACATACACACAAATATGAGGGCTCCACATGCAGCAAAAAATGAACAAGCAAGAAATACATTTACTCATCAAAGCGATGTTTTGATAACTGAATCCCAGCTTTTTAGAGGCTTCTCGTTACATGGGTCTGGGTTCTTGGTCAAGGCATTCTGAGTCTGCGTCTGAGCTTGTGAGTCCTCCACGGCTATGTCACATCTAGTGGGCATGTTTCTGCCCAGGTAACCTGAGTTACCTTTAGATACAGTGAAACTTTTAAGGTATGTGTGAGATAGTCTCGGGGAGAAGAGAGCACCACACAGCCTAACGGGAGGCTTGGGGATGGTGTGTGATGCTCTGTGTGATGCCAGATCTGTGGGACCCGGTCAGGGGCTCATGATCATGATGGGAACTTCTCTGATCTGGTGAGGTCACAGAAAGAGTGGAAGCTGTGAGATCAGAGCCCCCACGGGTGTACCAGCCTCACATCTGAACCATGGGGGTTGTAAGGCCAGTATTAGGGGTTTGTCCCCACCCCTGCACGGTGCAGTCACACTGGGCCCCTATGTTTAATGCTCCACTGTGGCCATCATGTAATGCTTAATATTTTTGGAACAAGGGTCCTACCTTTTCATTTTGCACTGGACCCTTCAAATAACTGCTCTCATCTAGGCAAGGCTGAGCTGTGCCCGTGCCATGCAAGACTGCTCATGTGGCCACAGAGAATTGGCCGGCCGTGAAGGGGGGACCTGCCCAGAGAATCTAGATGGCAGTCAGCCCAGGCTCACTGCTGCTCTGGGCTGAGCTGTGATTTGGAGAAGGGCAGCCTGTGGCTATGGGTATTGGCAGGGACATGATCTTCTCAGAGAACAAAAATGGGAACTGCGTATGCAAATATATCTTAGGACAAACTTTAACAAGCTTCTAACATCATTTTTGACTGGTCACATGGTACTCTGACCAGCTCTGAAAACAGAACCCAGAAGAGGCTGGAGAAGGAAATGAGAGGAGCCCAGAAGGCAGATGAGAGCACAGCACGTGGGGGCGGGGGTGCTGCTCTGTGGGAACAGGCTCCAGCCTCAGGCCCAGTCTCTGCCCTCCGCCAGGCCCCGTACCAAAGAGATGTCCCAGGGGGTTGTGGGGCTGCCTGTGGCTCTCCTCCTTCTCTGCATCCCAGGTGAGTGGGGTGGGCACTGGTTGCAGTGAGTCTGCTCCGCTGGTCAGAGCGAGGAAGGTGCGTGGAAAGGGTTGGGGGATGAAATGATACCAGGGCAGATGGAGCAGGATGCGTGTGCATGCTCACCACCAGGGCGACAGGGTAGGCTGCTTCCCACACAGTAAGCCCTGCGGCTTTATCATCACCACCATCAATACCGAGTTCAGAAACACTGTCTGGATAGATCAGGGGAAAGGGAAGTGGAACAGAAAACCAGGATTTACTGGAGTAATCACTGGATGACATGTCTTTCCCCCATTATCTAATTTAACTCTTGTTGCAATCCTTATTAAAACAAGAGACTTATACTCCAAGAATGCAAATAACTTAGATCAAACAATTCATAAAATGCTCAACCAAGTGTTGAACCAGAATACTTTTATTTCCAAGACATCTATTTATTTATTTATTTATTTTAGAGGGAGGGTTTCACTCTGTTGCCCAGGCTGGAGTGCAGTGGCATCATCACAGCTCACTGCAGTCTTGAACTCCTGAGCTCTTGTGATCATCCTTTCTCTCAGCCTCCCAAGTAGCTGGGACTGCAGGTGCATACCACCTCGCCCAGCTAGTTTATAACACTTTTTGAAGAGGGGTGTTTCACTATATTGTCCAGGCGGGTCTTGAATTCCTGGTCTCAAGTGCTCCTCCCACCTTAGCCTGCCACAGTGCTGAGGTTACAGGCGGGAGCCACCTGTGGCCCACCTCTCCTTTTATAATACAATGTCAATTTCTGTTGACTCAGGGGCTAAGCTTGGATTTATATCAGAGTAATGAGAGGCTCTGTGGTGGGACTCAGTGGGTCCCCCACAATGTTTTCCCACCCATACCTTAAGGACCTAAAAGAAAAGACAAATTTGGAGTCCTGGCCTGAGGTCCTGGGAGACATGGAGAACAGTGCCCTGGGGAGCCTGAGCCCAGAGCAGCGGCAATTATAAGAGAGGGCTCAGTTCTGCCACCCTCTCCACCCCTTCCACACTCATGGGCTTGTGCTGAGGGGTCCTGGGGTGGGGATAGCAGTGAGCTCCTGAGAACGGGACTCCTGAGCACTGCTGACCTTCGGCTGCCTTGTATGACCTTGAGCAGTATCCCTGGCCTCTGCTCACTAGATGCCAGCAGCAATCTCACGCTCCACATTGTGACAAAGAAAAATGTCTTCTGTCATTGCCAAATGTCCTCTGGGGAGCAAACCACCTCCAGTGGAGAGTCACTGCTCAGAGGGTATTGGCAAGAGAGGGGATCAGCATTCTGATGCAGAGTCAGCCCAGGGGCCATGTGAGCTTACTTTCTGGGAAATAAAGTGAGAAAATGTGAGACAGTGGAATGAAGAAGCAAATGATAAGGTTTTTCTTTTAATAAAAAGATAGCCAAAGTCTCAGCAGAAGTGGATGGTAATCTATCGCCTGGATAGGTGGATGGATGGATGACGGGCAGGTAGATTATAGCCACAATTACTTTTCAGGGGTTTAGTATTTTGCCAAGACCATTTCTCAGTGGTCCTTTCGTCCTGGACTAACCCCCTCCCTGCGGAGAGCAGATCAGAAAGCGGCTGTTTAGGACAGTGAGGCTCTCCTGGCAGGAAGCAGAGAGTTTATGGGGCGGGTCCTAATATGATAATTTGGGACTAGAGCCTCCAGAATAGATGGACGGATGAGGGGGGGATCACTGAAGGGTCAGTGATGTCAAAATCTTGGTGGAGCAGAGGACGTGGGGCAGAGGCCCGGGATGTGCCGAGGAGGGTGCAGGAGGGAAGGAAGCTCTGCTGGGTCGCCAGTGTGGTGCCAAGCCCTGTGGGTGTCAGGCGTGGCATATGGGGCTGCAGGAGTCTGTCTCAGGAGAAAAATCCAGGTGTGAATGCCCTTGAATTGCCACCTAGGAAAGCCCATTTCTAAACACCCTTTTTGTATTCCCATGGGCAAACCCCCTTCCCTCTGTCACCCAGACCCATGAGCGGGAGGCTTCATCTATGCTGGCAGAACTGTGAGCATGAGGCCCACATAGGACCACTCGGGAGGGGCAGTGCCAAAAGCCCGAGGCCTCCTCCTTGCCCTTCAGAATGACCTTCATCTGGTTTTGCCTGCAGAAACCATTCTTATTTCCTGTTTCCTGTTCCAGCCATCTCTCCATCCGTTCATTCATTTATTTGAAGTGGCTTCGCTCAAGTCCTGGTGACAGATGGGGGCAGGTGTCTCTTCTCAAGAGTGACCCTCCTAGGAGACCCAGAACTTGTCTGAGGCCCCCAGAGTTATCCTCTTCCCCTAATCCTCTAAGATGACTGAGCACACCCGGGGGGCGTGGCCTCTCGAGTCTCAGGGTCCCACATAGGGCTTGTCTCACTGGTGCCTGATGCCTCCCTCTCCTCTCCTTGAGGCTTTCCAGGGACCTGACACCCAAGATCCCTCTGGTCCAGAGTCTTCAGGGTGGAGACAGGGGAACCTGACCTGTGTTTTCTAGGCTGCCTGCCTCTGATCTGCTCCAGCCCCGTGATGGGCACTGTGGGGGAATCCCTGAGTGTGCAGTGTTGGTATGAACAGAAATATAAGATGTTTAAGAAATACTGGTGCAGACAACCCTGCTTGCCACTTTGGCATCAAGTTGTGGAGACCAGAGGGTCTGATGGAGAGGTGAGGAGTGGCCGAGTGTCCATCACAGACCATTCTGGGAATCTCACCTTCACCGTGACCATGGAGAACCTCACGGCAGATGACGAGGGCAAATACAGATGTGGGATTGCGACGATCCTGAAGGAAGAGGGGTTCCACGGCTTCCTCCCGGACCTCTTCTTCCAGGTTCAGGTGCTTGTTTCCCCAGGTGAGAGCCTCCTTTCTTTGGCACGAGGGGAGAAGGAATCTGAACTCCTCTCTACAGAGCAGCCGAGGAAACTGGCCCAGGAGAGAAGAGCGGGGCCTGGTGTGTGCTCATTGTGTTGTGTGATGTGTGTGAAGGTGTGTGCAGTGTGAGATCGTGTGCAGGTGAGAGTGGGTGTGTGCTGGGGTCGGGCAGTGGTGGTGTGTGGATGCGCTGGCAGGGGCAGAAGTTGGGACTGAGGTCTCTTATACCGACCTGCTTTCAGTGCGACAGGGAAGTACTTAACGGGAGCAGGTGGTGATTCTCCTGTCTTGGGTTCTTAGATGTCCACCTGACCTCTGGTCAGAGCTCCTGGGGGGTGGGGCAGATGGGATGCCTATTACTCTGTTCAGCTATGGGGAGATGACAGTCCCAGCATATCCATCTAGCTGCTTCCCTGAGTATTCTCTGCTATGTGACATCAGAGCCATGCAGCTGCCAGGTACCCCAGTAGGGGAGAGTCAAGGACAGGGCACTGAGCCTCTGTTCTTTACCTTTAACCTCCCCCACAGCCTTCAGCACTGAGAGCTCTGCAAGGGCACCTGGGTCTCCCAGGAGCAACAGATCAAGCCAACGCCAAGGGTAAGGTGCACATGTCCCAGTGTCCCAGCACCTTCTACCACTAGCACAGCTTCTGTCCTGGGCCGGGTGGGACTTCCCTCAATCATTCACTTTCTCAACAAACATGCATTTGTTATGTGCCAGAAATGGATTCAGTGAACAGGCAAGGTCATGCTCTCAAGGACATTGCAAATAGGTAGATTTAGACAATGGCCAGAAGGTTGGATGGAGAGATGGAGTTGATAGACGACAGAGATATCTAGAGCTATGCAACAGAGATCAACAGATGGACAGATGATAGCAGAGGAAAGATGTCTGTGAATGATCATGACTGTGGAGGGAGAAGCAGGTGTCGAGGGACAGGGTGGTGGGGTGTGTGGGGGGATGGTGGGACACAAGGACGGCTGCCTAGAAATTCAAGATGGAAACAAAGAACAAAGGGACTGTCTTAGTTTGGGTTTTCCCCAAATTTAGTCCTGAGATGGGGATTGAGGAGCAATTAGTTTGCTGAGAGGTGATCCCAGCAGTGCAGTGAGGGGAATGGAGAGCCAGGGAAATGTGCAGCAATGAAGGAGTAATTGCTGTAGTGACTGGTCCCTCAGTCATGCTGGGGACCCTGTGGGACACTGCCGAGAACACTCCTCAGAATTGGAGAAAGAGTCTTCCAGGCAGAAGGCACACATGGGGGAACGAAATCTGTGGCGCATCTGGCCAGGTCTGTGCAGGCAGCCAGGCACAAGCAGGCAATGTGAGCTTGAGGTGGGAAATCCTGGGTGGGTCCAAGACCATCTGCAGCTACCAGGAGCTCAGGTGGGCAGAGGAGCAGGGCACCAACAGGTGAGCTGCAGGGGCTAATCTCAGAGGGGACAAGGGCTTGTGTCAGCCAAGCCCTGTGGGTGGGTGGAGGCTGGGAAGGTGGAGAGATTGCACAAAGAGCATTTGAGGAGCAGGATTGGGGACAGCGTATGGGGACCTGTGGGGTGAGGGATTGCCGGGAGTTGAGCTTGGAGAGGTCACTCCTTGGGTTTGAGGTTCTTAAGCAGTTTAAGCAAAAGAGCAGGTCTCATGGTCATATTTAAGGATAGGTCGAGACTTATTTGAGTGAGGAATGGCTGTAAGGGACTCCCTTATCCTCAAAGTTGTTCCCAGTAAGAGCTGAGTTCCTGCCGAATGCTGAGGGCGGAGGGCCCAGTTCAGAAGCCTGTTTCCAGGAGTCGATTTCTGCCTCAGCTCCCACCTCTCCCTTCTCCTTTCCTCACCACTGTGCCCTCCTGTGTCTGCTGGGTCCCGACACAAGGACAGAAGCCTGTGACCCTGAGCACGGGGCTGCCCAGTCCTGGTATCTGGAGCCCAGGGGGAGGTGGGGAGAGACAGAGCCTGGGACTCCCCAGCTCAGTGCCGGTCACTCTGTCCCTCTCACAGGTCCCTGCTCGGCAGCGTCCATTTCCTGCTCCTGGTCTTCCTGAAGGTGCCTGTCTTCCTGAGCATGCTGGGTGCTGTCCTCTGGGTGAGCAGGCCCCAGAGGGCTCCGTGGACAGAGTCAGCCTGACCAAGTCAAGCGGAGCTCCCACACAGGTTGGCACCCTAACCAGAGGCACAGACCCTCAGACTGTGCAGAAGGAAACCCTGACCCTGAACTTCATACTCCATTTTATTGATGGATACTTTTTTAAAACCTTAAAATTAAAAAAAAACCATAATCCTGTACCCAAAGTATGTAGATACTGTATATATATATATATACAGTTTAAGGACTGGAAGTAAACACACGTGCCCACCATTCAGCCTACGAAATGGAGCATTCTTAACGACTTTTAAAGCCCCCACATGCCTCTCCCTGCCCTCCTATCTGTCCTTCTCCTACTTTCGGGGTTAACCAATATCTGACTTCCCTTGGGGCAGTCGTTCCCTTGCTTCCCCTTTAGCACTCTGAGCAAGGACGTGGTTGTTTTTGAACCTTGCACAACAGAAATCACACCGTCTCCTGCTCATTGGTTTATGAGCCATATTGGATTTTTCTCCTCCTCTGTCAGCGGATCGTAGGGACCTCCCTGCAAAGCTTTTGGTGTGAGAGCTGAAGGCATAGCACAGGACGTCAAGTGACTAAGTGGCTGGAGCCACCCATCACGAGCTGAGTGATGTCATAGCCACCAAACTGTAAGGGTGGTCAGGCATTTTCTCTTCCTTTGGGTGCAGTGGCTTGTTAAGGACCTCCGTGTTAAGTGGCGGGGGGCCTCTGCTGCGGGTGGCTGACCCTTGCTCCAGATGTGGGCTCTTTGCTACAGCTTTCCTACTGGTGCTTGCCAGAGATGCCACACGGCATCCTTGTCTTCCATCGTGGGATCAATCAGGTCGTGTGACCCTAATGGCAGGGCCATTCCCCCCCACCTCCCGGATTGCTGGAAGGGCCTCTCTGGCTGTGGGCCCACCTCAAAACTGGCAGATTTTAAAGTTGCTTAAGAAATGAGAGCAGTGTTCCCAAGTATGGAATGTGCTAGCCCCAGATTTCACAGAGGCATATGCGGCACTATGATTTTTGCTTAGAGGTTTGAGACACAAAACCAAGGAACTCACCCCAGACTATGGGACTCCTAAAAATGGGACCTATGGGATAAGCCTCTGACATTTTGTTGGGTTTCTCTCCCACTCTGGTCCAGAGCGTCTAAAGCGTTTGCTCCTTCTTGCTTTCCATCCCCAGTGAAATACAGCAGTACGAGGTTCCATAGAGCGCCTAGTCAAAGGCCCTATGGATTATATCGTGACAAAGCAGAAGACTTGACTTAATCCTGGGCTGGCCATAAATGTGGGCTGCTCCTTGGCCAGAATTCAGGGGAAGCGCTTCTGATCTTCAAATGGACGGGTTACCAGGTGTCATCGAGAAAAACATCTGTGATTGGTGATCATTTAGTTCAGCTTAAGCTAGTCCACTGTCAGAAAACCCATCTGAGTTTTTCAAGGGGACAAAATAGGGAATTGAGGATGAGTTTTAAAAAGTACCAGGGATTTATTTTAAAGGTGTATCGATGTGGAAATGACTCATGAAGGAAGAAGTTTCTACTCCCAGGTCCCTAGAAACAGGAGGCACAGCCTGCCATGCAAGGCCATGCTGGGGTGGGATAAGTGGGGTGAGGGGGCTGCAGGGCGCTGAGGAGGCAGAGGGAGTGAACTGCCCATGGGGGCCTTTATTGTGATTTTCACAGGAAGCAATGATGGGAGAAATAAGGTAAGCAAACTAAGCAGGTTTACAATTAGGTGAAAGGAATTCTGATGGGCTCCAAGCAATAGGGTGGGCCCCAGTTGCTTGGCACCTGGCCCTGAGGGGTTTTAAGGCAGGGGCAAGTGTCCTGGCCTGCAGGAGCCCAGTGAAAGGAGCAGGTAGGGGTTATGGACTTGGGGTTGGTTGGTTTGTCTATCAAAGGTTTCCTTGTAAGCAAGTTGTTCACGTTCTCTAGGAATAGCTAACCCTGGGCAGCTTATAGAAATATATTGCGCATACGCATGAGTGCATGCACACTCCTATTTGAGTACTAAAACAAAAAATAGTGGCAACACCAAGTGCTGGCAAGGATGTGGTGAAACTGGGTCACTCATCCATGTATGGTGGGAACTGTTTCCCACTATGGGAAACAGTTTGCCAATTTCTTTTTTCTTTTCTTTTTTTGTAGAGACAGAGTTTCACTTTGTTGCCCTCGGTAGAGTGCTGTGGCATCACACAGCTCACAGCAACCTCCAACTCCTGGGCTTAGGCGATTCTCTTCCCTCAGCCTCCCCAGTAGCTGGGACTACAGGCACCTGCCACAACGCCCGGCTATTTTTTTGTTGCAGTTTGGCTGGGGCAGGTTTGACCCTTGGTATGTGGGGCGGGCGCCCTGCTCACTGAGCCATAGGCACTGCCCAGTTTGCCAATTTCTTACAAAACAAATGGTGTCTCCACTGTGTGAGCCAGTGAATGCACTCATGGGTATGGAAAAATAAATACTGGAAAAAATGGGAGAAAATAATACTTAGGTTGACACAAAAGCCTACACATGAGAGCTCACAGCAGCTTTACTCATAATCGTCCCAAACTAGAACCGGTCCTGGTGGTTGGTGGATGTTAAACAAATTGTGTTTCACTCACGCCATGGAACACTGCCCGGCACTGGGAAGGAACAAATTACAGATACACACAACTCGGAGGCCCTGGAGGAAATGATGCTGAGTGAAAAAAGCCAAGTCCTAAAGTCTATCCGCTGTGTTGTTCCATGTATATGACACTGTTGAGGTGACAAAATCATAGAGATAGATACTGCCGGGCGCAGGGTGAGGATGTCGGGCAGGGGGGATTGATGTGGCATCAAAGGGCCACTGTGTGGACTATGTTTACTTTTAGCGTGAAAACTCTCACGTCTCCTCTCCGTCTGTCCCCTCCCCTCCAGCCACCTCCTCTAACTTGTCCTCTAGCCCTGTCGAAGTGGTCTTGCCACCTGCGTTTTGGAAGTCATCACCCAAGGAGGGGCTCCTTTCTCTACTAACCGATCTAAGCTCTCTTCACAGCCCGTCATTTCCTTTAAACAATGTAAGCTTTGCACTCAACAGCAAAAACCTTCTGGTTAAAAAAAAACAAAGTAAACTCTGACTTCCTGAGAGTGGGAAGCCTGGGCAGAGGTAAAATTTACCTTGTTGGGACCCTCCCCCCATGTCCAAGACAGGCGTTAGCTAGAAGCCTCGCTGCTGGTAGGAACTCTGGCCCAGACCCTTACCATGGAGAATTAACTGTAGCAGATGCGGTGAGCTGGGTGCACCCCACTGATCTGTCTGTGCTTTCTCAAATCCATACCTCTGTTCCCTAAAATTACCTCCAGCTCCAGACTAGTTTCTTCTTAGAAAAGAAGTAACAGCCTGAGACGCCCCAGCTGTGCAGGAGGCCCACAGAGCTCTGTGCTCAGCCCAGTTACAGGCATTCATGAGCCCCAGAGCTCTGTGTCCTGCTCACCTGGAGGCTTTAGGGACCCCAAATCTCTGCACCTGGTGTTAGGAAGCTTCCTCCCTAGGGGGTACATCTGGAGAGCACCCGCCTTAGTTCCCCCATGTGATTTTCACCCTGGCATAACATCCTGTCCCAAATAAGAATTCAGTCCTGAGCTCCCGTCGGTCTCCCTGAAGACCCAACATCCCCTTCCCAAGCAGCTGGATTATTACCTGGAAGCCCAGCCTGTCTAGAGACTTCCGAAAGGACCAGTGACACAGCCTGACACTGAACTACAAAAGCATTTCTATTCACCTTCCCTGTAGGTAAGATCAAAGGTAACGACCAGGACACACTTGCGGCAGCTCTTTAGGCCACCAACAGATGATAATAGCAGGCATTTGCAGGCTTTCGCTCTGGACTTCTTTTTTAAAAACTATTGTGGTAAGAACATTTAATGCGAAATCTAACCTCTTAACACATTTTTAAGTGTACAATACCACAGCGTTGACTATAGGAGAATGCTGTACAGAGACTCTCTAGAAGTTATTCATCTTGTTTAATTGAAATCTCCTTATGCTCATTGATTAAGGAAATAAGGAGTTGCTTTGGGCCTCTTAAAAGACTTACAAATGATTCTACTCTAACAGGCTTGCTTCTCTTGCTGGTTCTTCCTACCTGATTCAAATATCCTGATACTGACCATGGCACAAATTAGGACTAGACCCTTCGTTCCCTGATGGCCCCTCTAGGCTGAGTCCTACAGTCTGGTCTGTAACTCCAGTCTCATTCCACTCATCAGCCTGGGCAATCTGAGTAGGGATTAGGACATCTCCTCTGCAGCCAGCTAGGCCTGGATTCAGGCATTCAAGGGGCCAGGGGCCAGGGTGCAACCTGGAGTCTAGAGCCCAATGCGCAGTTTAGACTGGACCATTGGCATCCCTAAAGGTTAGTGCCAGGGCAGATCAGAAGCAGACACATCTGATTTAGGTCAAAGGGATTCAGCTTTGTGAGAAGCAGCAGACACATTGCTCTGCTGAATTTCTTACTCTCTAGAAGAGATAGAGAGACCCAGTGTTCCCTCCTGAACATGTTGTCTAGGATGGGAATTGGTTTGGTGACAATTCAATGCTCCTCATTGTTCATGAAAAAGGGAAGCTGCTTGTTGAACCGCTAACTTAATCAGTGCCAGGAATGGTTTGTGGGAAGGCAGCTGCGGGGAGGAGAGGAAAAGAGGAAGAGGTGCAGGGATGGAGAGCATCAATATCATTGGGCTTTAACTTTATCTTGGCTAAGTTATTATTTTCCCTTACAAAGGGAAGAGGGGGTGTTGAGTGGCTGGATGCCTTATGCAGCATGGGCGGGTAGGGCCTCTGAAGGACCACTGGGCTCTGGCTTAGCACCCCATGAAAGGCCTCAAAGATAATCTTCAGCACTTCTCTGAATTAGGTTATCTGTACAAACCACAGGGCTATGCTGACAAAAATGTTCACCCTACATATTTACACATGTGTTTCATTTCTACCAGACCACCAGTAGATTAAAATTTTAATCCAATTGTCAGGACCCTGGCCTATCTAACTGTCTGGACGTGGACCGCTGTGCTACCTTGCCCGGGACCAGCTCCCCTTAGGTGCTGGGGAGAAATTTATTTTAACAGGAGAGAGAGAGAGAGAGAAAAACAGTCTTTGAGAGAGAGAAAAATAATCTTAGTAGGAGAACAAATCCTAGCAGTCTTCTTAGAGCAGGAGGAGCAAAAGAGAGTGAGCAAGTCTGTAAAAGAGTGAGAGAATCTGGACTAACCTCTCCTGTGGCTATGTATAGAGGTGATCCCATGGCTATTTACACCACAGGTGTAAAGACTGCCAAGCACTGATGTTCTCATCTTGTCTCACATGCTCTCGTGTTCAGGAGAGCCGAATCTCTTCCCCATGCCCTTATCACTGAGGTGTTATATTACCGAGCTGTTACAGGTGTTTCTTATAGTTGCAGAGTGTTCAAGGCTTAACTCTCACTTCTCCTGTCCTTTGCGTTATATGGTCTACTACATCCAATGATCATCTTTTTTATAGTCCAATTAATTGTCCGTTATTATTCTTTGTGTAGCAAAAAATTGATTTGTGAACTTATTGCATTTAAAATATACCACAAATAAATAAAATAAAATATACCACAATTTTTGGAACTCTATTTGACATCTCTTGCTCTCTCCCTCTCTCTCTCTCTTTTTAAGATGCTGAGAGCTTCAGAAAACAAAGTTGGCCCAGGCCTCTCTGGAACTTAGGGAGTCCCTGAAAGCCAGAGAAGAATAAAGTAGATAGTTCTGATTCCAGCCCCAGGAAAGGCATTAACATTGGGCTTTAACTTTATCTTTGCTTAATTATTTTTTCCCTTACAGAGGAAAGGTGGGCTCAGGGTCCTCAGTGGACACTCTCATGCTATTTAATGAACAGCTTGTTGGCTTTTAAGCTTTGGACTCTCAGTTTTTCTACAGTAGCTCCTTGAAACACAAACATTTCATCAACTCTAAGCAATGTCTGTGGGGCGGTAACTCTGCAGGTGAGGATGGGGCTCTGCTAGGGTGGTTTTGGGTCTTCCTGTGTTAGTTCTCACGAGACCTCCTTAATCAGGTCTTCAAGTGCAGGCTTGCAAGTGAAAAGTGCCATAGGGTCAAATATACTCAAATATACTCACATCTAAAGCCAAAAGTGCACTCCCAGATCACTGATGCCTTTGCACTGCCCACCTGTTGGATCGTTTAATTAACCTGTTAACACAAGCATCTGGCAGAAGCCACTTTCATTTGTGATGTGTTTTCTGAAAAGGAAAATGCACAGTGCAGTCAGAAAGAAGAGAGAAAGGGAGAGAGGGAGTAGTGGGTGCCAGAGAGGGGCAGGAAACCATGACCCCTGCTGAGTTTCTCAGTTTGGGTTACCATGACTACCTCTTGCAATAAACCCTTCTTATTCTGTTTCCTGGGTCTGAGAGTTGGGCCTTTGCTGTCCCTCTGCCACTCTCTCCCCTTCAGTGTCATGGTGTGGTGAAAACACCCTTAGGCATCAGTGTCAGAGAAGTCCTGATACTGATACCATCACTTATAATTTATGCTTCTGGTCATTATTTTTTCTCTCTCTGAGCCATTTGCAAGGTATCTGGGAGGAGAAGATATTAACATATATAAACTCTTTGCTACATAAAAAGAGATCAATAGACAGTATCCAAATAAAGAAAGTCAGACAAATTTTCAGAGTTGTAACTTTATGTCTCAGTTTCTAAATTCTTTTATTGAAAGATAAGATACAAACAGAAAATTATACAAATCATAAGTATATATGTATGTAGCTCAGTGAAAATTGAGGAGGTAAATATCTTCACATAGCCACCCCCCAGATCAGATGGCCAGGCCCTTGTGGAGTCCCCTTTTACAGGGTATTAGGGTGGGTCTGTATGATCCATAGATATGGCAGATGCAATATGCCATCCAAGGAGAGGTCATAAAAGATACCGTGCCTTGCTCTCTCTTGGATCACTCTGGGAAAAAGCTAGTAGCCATGTTATGAAGACACTCAAACAGGTCTTTTGAGCAAGAATCTGAGGCCCCAGCCAACAGCCATGCGAGTGCACCATCTTGGAAGAAGATCCTCCAGCCCCAATCCAGCTTTCAGATGACTGCAGCCCCAGCCAACATCCTGAATGCAATCTCATGAGAAACCCTGTACCAGAAGCACCCACCTAAACTACTCCCAGATTCATGACTCTCAAAAACTGTGCAATTTGTTGTTTTCAGCTGCTAAGTTTTGGGGGAATTTGTTATGCAGTGGTAGTTGTCTAATATAGTGGGATGACACTGGTCTTTCACTCTTTCAGGAAGTATTTATTTTATGCCCACTGCTTGTTGCCACATACTCTGGCTGGACACTGGGATATTCATGGTGAACAAAGCAGAGCCATATGTTTCTGTGATGTGAGCAAAATTCTGCTGGAGAAGATGGGAAGAAACCACCAACATAGAAACAGAATTTGATGAGTTATGGATGATCATGATCAAGACACCAGGGTTGATTCCAGGGAGGTTGACTAGGAACACCTTTCTGAAGAGGTGTTTACCTCTGAGGAGGTAAAACTGAAGGGGTAAAAAGGAGCCTGAGGTGAGTAGATCTGGGGGGAGGGATTTGGAAGAAGCTGCAGCAGGTGCTAGAGCCCTGAGGCAGGCTGAGCACTGTGGCTAGAATGCAGGGACCATGTGGAGAGGGGGCAAAGAGATGAAATCAAAGAACTACCTAGTGGCCAGGTCTGACTCAACCAAATAGGCCAAGCAGGGAGAAAAGGTTTCATTTGAAGGAGATGGCACAAGAGATGACATTGACCATCACAGACATAGGTCAAGGTGCTCTCTACTGTATTGTCCAGAGAAGAATGGGGAGCAGGATTGGAGAGAAGAAGGGAAGTCACTCAGTGTGGAAAGAAGGGGTGGCAGTACATCAGGGGAAGGAAGGAAATGAGCAGATGAGAGACATGCAGATAGGATGGGCTGGAGGATGCAGGATTTATAGGACTTGGGTTGCAGCAACTGGAGGGATGTCACTGCCTTGGATGATGAAAAGACAGTGTAGGAAAAGGACAGATCTGTGAGGCAGGAGAAAATATAGAGCAGCTTGGTGCATGGAAATGCTGTGAAGCAGTGGCAGATGGTGGTGTAGACCAGGAGAGGAGGGAGAACAGGCCCAATCTCTAGGTGGCTGGGGAATCAGGGGACCTGACTGGAGCAGGAAGAAGCTGGAAGAGGTGACAGCGCCCAAGAGGACACTAGATGGGCCCTGTACCTGGCCCTGCCTCCTTGCCCTCTCCAGGGTAGACTGATGCTAAAGTCCACACATCCAGAGCACAGGCCGCTCAGCATGGACAGACCCCTGTCTCCACCCTCTGGGAAGGGCTGTCCCTCCCCTCTCTTCTCTGGGGAGGCCATTGATTTCTACTGGGGATCCAGGAGAGACACCAGAGGCGCAGCAGGTGTGCAGACCCCTCTCTGTGTGTCTCTGGGTGGGGAAGGCGCACTCTCAGCCTCACATCGCCCCCAAGTTCCTGCTTCAGCATCTTCATGCCTCTCAGCTCTCTTCTCACATTCCCAGCCCCCCCCACCCCCCCAGTTCCCAGTGGAACATCAAGTTTGGCAAGAGGACGAGAGTGGAAAGTGATGGTCTAGGATGGTGAGTGACGCTGCTCTGTGTCTAGGTCTGGGGCTTGGGGACAAGAAGATAGAAGGTCCAACCTTGGTGGTTTCCTCCCTGGATGGGGGCCGGACCCCAAGCTGGGACAAGTCAAAAGTGTCTGGGGTTATAGTGGCAACTTGTGAGGCCAAAAGAAGAGCTGGGGTCTTAGTGGGCAGAGTTCTCTGTGGGCACAGTACCTCTGTGGTCACTTTGACCACAGGACAAAGTACCTCTGTGGTCACCACCAAAGCCAGAGAAAGCAAACAGATCTGGCTTGTGCCTCTGAACTGTACATCCTGACCACAAGGAAATGCCATATTCACAGATGGTGTGGTGGCCCCACCCAGGAGGAAATGCTCCCCTTGGCTCTGCTGGGGGGGGGGGCTCTGCTCAGTGAGACAGCGAGGCCAGACCTGGGGGCTCCAGGGACAGAGCTGCATTGCCAGCCAAGGGACCCTGGATGTGACGAGTCCCTGGGACTGAGGGGAGCCACCAGCAGCAAGTCCCAGGACTGTCTATACCAGCCACATGACCTCTCCCACTAAGCTTCCTCCACCCCAACCAGCTGGAGCCTGAGACCCCAGAAGGGGCTGGACAAGGAAGCTGAGAGGGGGAAAAAAGCAGAAATGAGAACTTGAAGACTGACCCTGTGCGAGGAGGCTCCACTTTGTCCACTCCTGGGATCTGGCACAGCTGCAGGTGACCTCTGTGCTGTAGGAATGACTGTGAGGGACTGGGCCACCTGGCTGCCTCCAGCTCTGCTGCTCCTTCACATCCTAGGTGAGTGGTATTCTGTCCTCTGGACACTGAAACTGTCCTGAGTGGGAAGCACATAGCAGGGGGAGGTGGGTGAGCAGTGGCCCACAGTGGGACAGGGGCTCGTGGAGAGAGGGCAGGAGGCCAGAGGAGCACCAGGAGTGGCCAGCACCTGCCTTTCCAGGTGACCACCAGGCTTGAATGTGCCACACAGGTGAGTCAGCTGAGTCCCAGTGGGCCACAGAGTAAGCCCTGGGGGGAGGGTGCCTAGGGGTGCCACAGCCACAGTTGTGCAATCTGAAATGCCATCTTGGTCCCTCACATAGAAGCACACAGGCATGCACAGGCACACACGTGAGCACACTCTGTGTTTTCCCAGCCTGGCTCCTGCCTGACACTGTGGACAGCCCATCTCCCTGCACCCACCTCAGAGGAGGAGGAGGGAGCTGACCCCTGGGCTGCCAAGGCCTGTGTGCCTGCTGTGGCCATCCCTAGACACCCAGGATCCTGGTTCAGGATACCCTGAGCCAGGCCCACCTGGCGAGGAGCTGGATTGGGTCCTGTGTTTTCCAGGCTGTTTCTCTCTGAGAAGCCCCAACACCGTGATGGGCATCGTAGGGGGCTCCTTGAGTGTGCAGTGTGAGTATGAGGAGGACTACAGGGCTGCAAAGAGCGTCCAGTGCTCATATATCTTCAACATTGTGATGACAGAAGGGTCAGAAAAAGAAGTGAGGTATGGCCGATTGTCCATCAAAAACTACTCTGCACACCTGACCATCGAAGTGACCTTAGACAACCTTACACGGGAGGACAGCAGCACATACTGGTGTGTGTTTGGCAGAGGTCATGGTCTTAAATACATCACTGAGGTTACTGTGCTGGTGTCCCCAGGTGAGCCACAGTGTCCCTCCTCCCTCAGAAAAGACTTGGACTCAAGGGGTGTCTGGAGGTGGTAAAGGTCACAGGTGTGAACAGCATCCCCAAGGGACCTGGGACACAGTGTGTGTCTGTGTGCACACACATGTGTCCTAGTCACCTCTGTCCTAGTCTGTCCTGTGCCGTGCCCTGACATTCTACTCTCCTGGGGCTTTCAGGCAGGGGACAGTGGCACCAGCCCTGTGGCTGGGAGTCTTGGCTGCCTTCTTGTCCTTATAGGGGCTGTGTCTACCCTGAGGAAACCCCTGGCTGACCTGGATCTGCCTCCATGCTCCTTATGGGGAAAAAACCCCTGGGGCAACTGCTCCCCTCACTCAAACACTGCCCAGGGCCCTGGGCCCTGAGTGGTATCACCCTGTTGGAGGTGGCTCTTGAGGCCCCAGCCTCACCACAGAGGCCCTGGGGGCTCTGAAGCATCCACCAGAGGTGACAAGCAGTGTGGGTTTCCCACCCCTGGGGACCTCACCCTGCCGCAGGCTGACCTGTCTGTCCCCTTGCTCTCTGGCACCTTTCACTCTAGGAAGGAACCCAGAGAGGTTCCTGAATTCACTCCCCTCAGGCAGAGGGCCAAGGGCAGGAATGGGACTCAGACCGCCAATGCTCTCCCCTGCTCGTTACACTTCTGCCTTAGAGGACTCTCTGTTTCCTGAGAACCAAGGTGAGATTCTCTGAGTCTATTCCCTGTCCCAGTGTTTTCTTCTCCCGACTCTCCCCGGAGCTGCTCTGAGTTTCGAGTTTCCTTTTCTTGGTTTTCATTTCTCTCCCATGCCCGGTCGTGGGTCCCCATCTCAGAGTGAGGAACTAGACTCTCTCTGAGGTCCCGGGTATGAGGGGAAAGGCTTTGCCTTCAGCTGGCACTGTCCCACAGCCTGCCAAGTGACATTTCTCCTGCTCTTTTTTTCTGATATTCCATCCCCTACAGAACATGGCCTAGTGGCCCACGTGGGGCCAAGGCCTGGCTGACATTTGGGGGCTGAGCGGACTCTGGTCTCATGATTTGGGGAAGACACCAGTGACTGTCCCTGTTCCCACTTGTGGCCTCATTCCAGCCCCTGCAGTGCCCAGGGCCCTGGGTCCCTAGTCAGTCTGGGTCAACCCCACAGGGCAAAGGACATCTTGGCTCTGTCTGGGTGGATAGGTTTGGTGACCCTGTGCCCTTTCCTCAGGCTCTCACATCTGGCAAGCAGCAGGGTGACTCTCACTTCTGAAAGTGCTCGCCTGGCTTCGTGTACCTGGGGATGGGGCTGCAGAAGGGGTCTGGGCCCTGGTCAGGCCTGGGAATGGCTGTGTGGCATGTTATACCCAAGACATCTGTCCAGCACGCCTCAGGGACCTCATCTGTGGGAATTAGAGCATGTGGCATGTTATACCTAGGACATCTGTCCAGTATACCTCAGTGACCTTATCTGTGAGTGTCAGTGAGTGAGAGATCCTGGCGGGGACACCAGCCCTGATCTGTTTTCTTTCCACAGCCATGATCAAAGCATCCAGTCCCCTGAACTCCACAGGCATAGCTGGTCTCCCTATGACCCTGACAGTGCACACCCCGCCCAGATCCACTGCTCAAGACAGCCCTGGCCCCAGCCCACAGCCTCGGTAAGGAGCCTACGTCCACAGCTGTGCCTACTGCGTGGCCTCTCCTGTGGTTAAGGGAGAGCGTGTGTCTCTCTCCTTCTTATCCCTTCTTTGGTCACCCCGCCACCACTAATGTAAAGGTCCTGGTAAGTGCCAGGTGCTCTTCTGGGGATTGTGTCACGCTCTCAGAGGGCACAGACCTCGCCCAGCTCCTTGGGAAGTAGGGTTGACTGGGTGGAGCCACACAGGACCAAGTTCATACACGGACCCTCATAACACGGACAGCACATTAGACAAAATCTGGCAAGCAGGCTTAGCTACTCGCATTTGAGGAGGGTGTGTATGGAGGGCCCTGTGGGCCTGGCGAGTTAGAAGACAGGAGAGCTCAGGCCTGCAGGGCTGGGGGCCAGGCATTGAGTGGGGAGGAGGAGGGGTCCAGGCAGAGGGAAGAGGGAGTGCAGATGTCCTGCCGGGGAGCCTTCAGGACTGCGGCTGGGCAAGGGCAGATGTTCTGGGGGGTCTGTGGCCTCAGCTCTGGCCCCTCCTTTTCTCCCCTACCGTGTTCAGAAGTGTTGCTCTGTGTTGATGACCCCAGTCCTCTGAGAAGTGAGACCTGAGTCATGCCACTCATTCACTCCTTGAACAACTGTGGCTTTTACAGGCTGATACTGTGCAGGTGCGGGAAAGGTGCTAGTTCCTCTGAGTATAAGACAAGGCAGGGCCCGGTCCTGCGGGGGCACAGTCTTTGGAGGAACATGCATAATCCAATTACTATGACCACTAGAGGGCAGTGTTCTTCCTCTCAGGGCTGTTCTGTCCGGGTGTGGTCCCCTTGTGGATAGTTGTGGTCACCGGACCTGGGCACAAGGGACAGGGAAATGTGCAGGGTGCTAGGGCCTCCCCCTGTAGAGGTTACTCATTGTCACTGTGTCCCCACAGGTGCCTGCTGGACAGCGCCCCGTTCCTGATCCTAGTGCTCTTGAAGCTGCTGCTGCTCTTCAGTGCTCTGGGTGGCATCCTCTGGGCGAGCAGGCCTCAGAGAAGCCAGGGGGCCGGGCAGCATCGGCCAGATGATGAGGACGGGTCACCCCGATGCCCTTAATGCCCTGCCAAGCCATACACTCTCTCTCGCTTATGGGAATGACCTTCTGATCAATAAATCCATGTTTTTATCGGAGCACTCTATAAACTTGGAGGTTTGTTTCTTGTAATGTATCACATACACAAAAGAGTACATACACCTTATTTATTTTTAGACACAGAGTCTCGCTCTGTCACCCAGGCTATAGAGTGCAGTGATGTGACCATAGCTGAGGCCTTCAACTCCTAAGGTTGGACACCCCCACCTCCACCCACCCACCCACCCCCCCCGCACTCCCCTATCCCCTCACCCCCCAGTAGCAGGGACAGCAGGTGTGACCAACTATGCCTGGCTAATGTTTTAAATTTTTTTGTAGCAATGGGGGTGGGAGGTGGGAGTTGCTCTGTTGTCCAGCCTGGTCATGAAGTCCTGGCTTCAAGGGATACTCTTGCCTCTGCCTCCCACAGTGTCGGCTTTATGGCCAAGAACTACTGCTCCAGGCCACGTGCATTTTAAAGCAAGAATGCAGGTACTGCTGAACATCTCCTGCCCAGCATCTCGCTTCCATAACACAGCATCATTAATAGCTATGAAACCCCAGACCCCTTGCCGATCTTATGAGCCCTCTTTTCTACTCTCCTCTGAAGGAATCGAGTTCTGAATTTTATGTTTGCCCTCTCCTTGTTTCAAGGGATTTGCCATATGTAAGGATATGGATTTCTACAGGGTATATTGTTTATCTTTGCTTGCTTGTTAACTTTATAGAAACAGCATTATACATTTTTATTTCTAAGTAATGTGATTTTATCATTGAGATTCGTCGGTGTAGATGCTGAGGCCCTGACGTGTCATCTATCACCCTTTATTTTGTTGTATGAATGTAGCATGACGGACAGATCCCGTCTTCCGTGGCTGAACTTTAGTTTGCTTTCTTTTCTTTCTTTTATGTGTGTATTCTCCTTTTCCTCTTTCTCCTTCTTCTTCTTTTTTTTTTTTTTTTGGCTGCTATTTCTTACAATATTGTTATGAACATTCTTGAACAAATATTAGGACTTTTGTGTATCTATCTGAAAGTTTCAGCTAGAATATAGTTCCAGGTGAGAAACCGCTACGCTTCACCACGCGCACCTAACCAACTTTTCCAAATTGTTTTCCAAAGTAACTGAACCAATTTCTGCACCCACCAGCAGTCCCATTGCTGTGAATCTTATCAGACTTTCTAAATTTCTCCAAGTCAACGAGTAGAAAACAGTATCTTGTTGTTTTAATTTTAATTTCTCTGATTCCTAGTGATTTGTTACCCTTTTCATGTGATTCTTGGTGGTCATTTGGATTTCCCCTTTTGTGAAGTATCCATTCTAATATTTTGTCTACTTTCTGATATTTGGGTATGTTTTTCTTATTGATTTGTAGAAATTCTTTGCCAGTCCTTTGTTAGTTTCCAAGTCACCACAACCAGAGGATTCCAGGGAGAGCACCCCCTCCTCTCTTGCTGGCTCTGGGGATTTGGGAAGAAATACTCTCACTCACTTCCCCAAATGGTTTTTCAAGAGTCTTAGCTGTTGGGTTCAAACAAAGAACCTAATTAAACCATGTGAAGCTTAGAATTTGTCTTATTGCTATTGAGGAAAGCCAGGAGACCGGCCAGTCGGCTCCCTGCCCCGGGCTTATTGTGTCTTTTCATTCAGTAGTTTAAGTTTTGCACAGGACCCTGATAATAATATAGAGCACTTGCTCAACCGTAGGACCTGCCCAGAACCTCACACATCTTGTCTTATTTAATTCTGACAATCATCATTCCGAGTCCAATTGACAGATACAAATCCTGAGGCTCATCCTCAAAGAGCTAAAAGTAGACCTTCCACTTGATCCCCCAATCCCTTTATTTGGTATCTACCGAGAAGAAAAAAAATTATTTTACCTTAAGGACATTTGTACTCACATGTTTATCGCAGCTCCATTCCAAGTCACCAAGATGTGGAATCAACCCAAGCACCTATCAACCCATGACTAGATTAATAAACAATGGAATCTGTAAACCATGGAATACTATTCAGCCATAAAAAATATGGAGCCCTTACACCTTCATATTAACCTGAATGGAGGTGAAGAACATTCTCCTTAGTGAAGTGTCATAAGAATGGAAAAGCAAGTATCTAGTGTACTCAATACTAAGAAACCAGTGGATGCCCAACTATATGCCCACACGAGAAAAAATATGTAATTAAAATCAAGTGGGGAGGGGGGGCTACCCAAGATGGGAGGAGGGAGGAGGATGGGTGTGCTCTTACCTAATTGGCGAACCTCCTGGGTGAAGGGCTTAACTACAACTTGGATTTTACCTAACAAATGCAAACAACGTAACCTAATCATTTGTACCCTCATATTAATCCGAAATTAAAAAAAAAAAAACTGAGGCTCAGAGAGGTTAAGTGAGCTGTCCACAGTCACACAGCTTGTAAGTGATGCTGGTGGGGTTAGAACCCAGGTCTGTCAGTCTTCACAGTTTAAACTTTTATGCACATGGCTCTAACACCTGAACAAGTGCACTTCTAGGTTTGCTGAGTGTGAATTACCTGACATCTGTGCTGGGGTTTCCCTGTTGTTGCGGCCCATCATCGTAGTGTAGAACATTTCTGGAGTTGCACTCAGAGTCTCAACCCCTGGGACCCAAGACTTGATAGGTCAGATGAGGCCCATGCCTGCCCCTCCTGACCCCACAGTCTCCTTACCTCGTCTTCCCTCCCCAGTAAGGACAAGCAAGCCCTGTGACTCAGCCCTGCCAAAGAATGACACTCCTTTTGCTGAATAATTAAAGGCAGGAAATACCCACTCCTTTTATAAAAGGAAGTGCGTAAGTAAGAAATTCGCAGGCCATCTGCACAGGCAGAAGGTGCTCCCGGGTCTGGCAGAGCTGCCAGAGTCCCCTTGGAATCTGCATTTGCCTCTGGCTGCAGGTGTGGGGACAGGAGGTGGGGGCGGGCAGGACCATGTGGCTGCCCCTGGCTCTGCTCCTTCTCAGCCTCTCAGGTGAGTGGGGCTGGGGCTCAGGGGCTTGGCACTACGGGGGCAGGGTTGGAGGTGGGGGGGCATCTGGCCCAGGTTCCAGGGGAGCTGCCACGTCCAGGGAAGTGAGAGGTGGCTTTGTTACATCCCCAGCAGAAGTGCCCTGGGGCCATACATCATGCCAGGCGTGCATCAGCCGCTGAGCCCGTGCAGGGAAAAGAGAAGTAGAGCTCGTCATTAGAGGAGATGCCAGATGGCTTACAGGGCAAACATACACGCAAAGTACAAGCAATGGCAGGGCACAGGGAGGAACCGACAGGGTGGGCACAGAGGCCAGGGCAGCTGTGGCTGGAAGAGCTTGAGGAAGCCTCCAGAGGCCGTCCGGTCCAGGTGCCTTGAAGCAGAGCAGGGAGAGGAGCACACCGTGGAGAGGGCTGTGCAGAGGGATGGACGTGCAGAGAGGGTGGTGCATCCGTCCAGAGGGAGCTCTCTGTGGATAGGACACCTGGGACGACGGACTGGACATGAGGTTGGACACACTAAAGACAAGATTATGAAGGGCCCTGGACATCATGCCCCAAGCTGAGATTTTCAAAGGGAGAACTGCTTGGGAGCCCAGGTGGGAGGGAAGGGCTAAGTATCTCCTCCTCTGGGGGAAACCTCTGCGGACACCTGGAGGACATGGCAGGACAATCTGAAATGTGCAGTGCATGTGGGCTGTGCAGTCCTCTTGGAGCCTGGGGATTGATCATCTGGTACAGACAGACCAGTACACAGAGGGACAGCAGGACAGAACACGGCCAGTTCTGAGACCCAAGCTCCTGCCCTGGCTGGTACCAGTGGTCCAGGTGAGCCCCTGATTGTTGTAGAACCTGGATCTCCCTTGTCAGCAGGTCCCAGAGGTCCTTTTTAGCCCTAAAGTTGTAGAACTTGACTATTTGGACTGGATAGAAGTAAATAAGGACTGAATTACTGCTGCTATTGTTGATTTTTGATGAAGATGAAGAAGCCAGCGATGACACTAGTAGACCACATGTGAAGGCAGCAGCCACATAGCTGGCTCCTATGGCCCAGAACCCACAAGGGACAGTGATTAGGGATGTCTGCACCCCCCGCCCAGCCTGGCTCCAGGATTGCATTTGAGTTGAGAAACACCCCAGCTGCTCCCTCCCTAGATCCCCAAATACTGCTCACCTGGAGGCCAAGGGCAAGAGGTGGGCAAACCATACCTGGGCTGGTGCTGTCACAGACACACAGGACATGGTCACACAGAAGAGCCTGAGTGCACCTGCCCACATGTCTGTAGTCACACGCTCACACTGATACACGTTCACATTTCTGCTCAGGACCCCAGAGTCACACTTACATACACACAAACACACAGATTCACACATGATGACATAAAGTGACACATATGCTTGCTCACACTTGCACACGGCCACACAAACACTGTTTTTCCCCAGGGGCAGGCTGAGACCCACCATGGCTGCTCTGTGACTCAGGGAGATGAGGGGTCCTCAGAGACAGGACAGAGAGAGGCCTTCCTCATCTGACCCTGAGTTTACACGGGAAGGGGCCAGGTCAGTCCAGCACGAAGGAAGAACCATGGTGCCACGTCTCACTGACAGATGGCCATTAGCCCCTCTGAAGTTATTTCTGCGAAATGAAAGGAGAGAAACGGGCTGGGGTAAAGATGGAATGATCCAATTTCCAGTGGGATGTTCTCTTATCTGATTGGTTATGTGACCCCCCCCATGCCCCCAGAGGAGGGCAGGGCACTGGAATGGCCCAGCACCCTCAGACTGGAATTGGCACAGAGCGGGTACTCTGTAAGTGTTTGCAAGTTAAAGAACAAACCACAGTTCTCTCAACCAGGAAAGTGATGCAAGGGCGGCCAGACGAGCACATCTGTGTCTAGGAATCGCCTGCTCGGAGCTAGACTGGCAAATGATTACTATCAGCCCCAGAGACGCCCTGCCCCGTAGGTGCAAAGTGGGAAGGACTTAAATCCCTTCTCATAGCCAGTGAGACTCCTAGTTCCACTCTGGAGGTTTCTGTGACAGGGGGGTTAATGCTCCCCGGGCATCCCTGCTCTGAGTACCGCCCTTTTCAGCCTACCATATTTCATTCATCAGCGATCACTTTCTACCAGTTGGGACGTGGGTCTCAGGCCCTTCTCTTCTTTTTGAGACAAAATGTTCACACATAGATTTTGTTCACGTGAGGATGGGGGGGGGGCGCAAACTTTCCTGAGAGACTGTCACCAGAGAGAAAGTTTACATCTCAGATTCATGAAATCAAACAGCTGAAATTTGAACAGCCTTCTGCTTTTAAAACCCTTTCGCCCCATTCCCCAAGGTTCTGCTCTTAGCTGACAGCTGTCCTATCGTCCCCAGCCCTGTCTTCCCTCTAATCAACCATGAAAACATCTATAGACTTAATTAATAGTTGTCATCCATCATAGTCTGTGTTTATAAAACCCCTCACATGTTTTTTAAATGGGCTGGATCACACTATGAGTACTTTGCAGTCGGATTAAATCACTGATGCTGGGTTTGAGGAAACGTCAGCTGCACGGCTTCTCTGCTGCTGGTGATTGCTAAAGACCACGGCTTACACCGAGAGCCTGCTTCCTCCCTCAAGAAAGAACATCCTATCTGCTGACTTCTGCATTTGATTTTAATGTCCAGCAGTTGCTGTCTTTTGGCGACTTTTCTCTGGCAAAGACAAGGAGGCAGATTCTCCCCTACAGCCTGAGGAAGGAACACAGCCCTGTCTACATCTTGATTTTAGCCAGTAAGACTATTTCAGACTTCAGTGCTAGTTGTAGTTGACCCTTTTTAAATTTTTAAAATTTTTCCTTGTTGTTTTGTCAGTTAATGACATGGTGAGCATTTTAACACAATAGACGTGTATGATTTAGAAGAAAAAAATCCACCCCGCCCCCCCAAACCTAACGTCAGTGCTAACCAGTGTTAAAAGTTTAGAGCACGCAGCCGCAGATGGCTTCCTATGTGCGTACTACGGGGAGATCTCAGAGGTGGAATCATACACTCTCTTAGGCAACTATTTTTTAAACCTAATAATAACATACCTTGAATATCTTTCCTATCATTGGTAATTTGTCTTTTTCTTTTTAACCATATTAACCCAGGTGCAGTGGAATCCCAGCATTTTAGAAGGCTGAGGGACGGGGATTACTTAAAGCCAGGAGTTTTAGACCAGCCTAGGCAACATAGCAAGACCCCATCTTTTTAAAAAACAATAATTTTTTTTCATTGGCTGGGTGTGGTGGTGTGCACCGGTAGTCCCAGCTACTCAGGTGTCTGAGGCAGGAGGACTTGAGCCCAAGAGTTCCAGGTAACAGTGAGTTATGATTGCTTCACTGGGCTCTAGCCTGGTGACAGAGTGAGACCTTATCTAAAAAACAAACGAACAAAAAAACAGAATAAAACAAAACACCATGTTATGGCTAGGCC